AGTATTCCACGTCCAGGAGCTCCCTTTAAATAACACAAGATCTGTTCTAAAGCTACCCAATGGTGAACTGTTGGGAAAGACATGAATTGACTTACAATACTGACAGGATATGCAATATCAGGACGAGTTATTGTAAGATAGTTCAATTTCCCAATCAATCTTCTATACTTCTCAGAGTCTTCAAATAAATCACCATCTTTGGTAAGTTGTAAATTGGAAAGCATTGGAGCACTGTTTGGCTTAGCTCCCAACTTTCCTGTCTCTGTTAACAAGTCAAGCACATACTTTCTCTGAGATAAGAAAATACCTTTCTTGCTCCTTGTCACCTCTACTCCCAAGAAATAGTTCAACATTCCCAAATCTTTCGTATGAAATTGGGCATGCAAAAAGGACTTCAGAGATGAAATTTCCACAGTATTACTGCCAGTAATAACAATATCATCAACATACACAACAAGATGAATAATGTCGGATTTGGATTGTTTGTAGAAGACTGAGTGGTCAGATTTGCTCTTTTGCATTCCAAACTTTTACAGTACCTGACTAAATTTTCCAAACCAAGCACATGGACTTTGTTTCAAACCATATAAGGATTTTCGAAGATGACACACTTTCACATACTCCCCTTAAGCAACAAACTCAGGAGGTTGCTCCATATAAATTTCTTCATGAAGATCACCATGTAAGAAGACATTTTTGATGTCCAGCTGATGTAAAGGCCAATCATGAGTAGTTGCCATAGAAATGAATAAGCAAACAGATGTTAACTTAGCGATAGGAGAGAAAGTGTCAGAATAATTCACACCATAAGTTTGAGCATAGCCTTTAGCAACAAGACGGGCTTTAAGCCGAGCCACTGATCCATCAGGATTGACTTTGACTGCAAATACCCACTTACATCCAATAGTCTTTTTGTATGTAGGTAAATCCACTAAATCCCAAGTACCATTAGCATCCAAAGCATTCATCTCCTCAATCATAGCTTCACGCCAACCAGGATTGGATAAGGCGTCATGAACAGTTTTTGGAAGAGTTACAGAGTCAAGGGAAGCAACAAAAGAACAAGAAGACGAAGACAAGTGATCATAAGACACAAAAGATGAAATAGGATAAGTAAATTGTCGTTTGCCTTTACGGAGAGCAATAGATAAATTAAGGTCACCAGACACGGGATCTGATGCCAAAGAAGAGGCAGGTGCTGAACATGCATCAAGAGGGCCTCGTCTTCTGGAATACACATGGCAAATAGGCGATGGTGGTGGTGTGGGAGCAGTAGATGCAGAAGGGACATTAGTTGACTAGTAAGTGACATGATACACCAACAGATCATCATCCTCCCCCTTACTGAATGAAGAATAAGAAGTGGAAAAGAAAAGAATATGTTCCAGAAAAGTAACATCAACTGATACAAGATATTTGTTAAGACTCGAGCAATAGCACTTATACCCTTTCTGTAGACGAGATTAACCAAGAAGAATACATTTTAAAGATTTGGGATCTAATTTAGTTACCTGGGGGCGAACATCACGAGTATAACATGTACTACCGAAAATCCTAGGTTCAATAGGAAATAGGAGTTTAGTAGGGAAAATGACACTGTAAGGGGTCTTACCATAGAGAATGGATGAGGGCATCCGATTAATCAAGAAACAGGCTACGGAAACTGCATCAGCCCAGAATTGTTTAAGAACATGCATTTGGAACAGGAGTGCCCTGGCCAACTCACCCGACCAAAATCAAAATAAACCCAACTAGAAATCGACGAGTCTGCCCGAACTTCAACCAGGGCCTCCTAAGCCAAAGCCACGCACACCGGAGATCGGGCTCCACGCAGCCAACAAAAAATAGAACCGGAGATACACGCACCGAGTATGAATTAGGAACCTGGCTCTGATACCATGTAAAGTATGAAAGAAAATTATTTTCTCCTTATATTCAATAATAGGGAAGGGAAGATACACCCATATATACATATAGAGAAATCTAAATTAGGAAACTATTCTAACGACGGAATCCTATAATCAAGCCTAATATCCCTATAATTAAGAATCTATTTACATACGTAACAATTTTAAACTCGAAACTTTACTTTGTTGCTCCCAGCACCGACACGTCGTCGGAGCTAAAGCATTGGCATCCAACACGTACAAACACACTACAACACGTGTGAACACACGAAACCAACACCCTCGGACACACTCAGACAGGTGTATTGCCGACCACGCACTGACAATGCAAATCCAAATAATATAGATGACAAAGATAAAAAGGAAAATCTAGCCTAAAATGAAATCGCAATTCCTAAAGCACTGGCCAATGGCACAATCGTGATGGGTCCTGGTCCATAACTATGGAAGAGGAGAAGGGGATGGGTTGGAAGAGGAGACAGCTCTGGCAGCAGGGCTAGAATGAAACCTAAAAACCTAAAGCTGAAATGTTTGAAGAGTGTACGCTGGCTAGGAAAGAAAGAAAATGCATAAAACAGGACTCAGAAATGCATGGTCGAGAGGGGAAATACATGAGTGGGGCTAGGAAATGAAATGTCAAGTGATATGTGTGGGTGGGCTATTTTTTTTTAATATTTTTTTGAAGATCCTTTTCTTCTTTCTTGTATAATTTGTAGCTTGTGATGATAATTTTTTCTTTCATTTTTTATTTTGGTCAGTTTTATTTTTATTTAACCCAAAAATGAGTATAACTAGTTTAAATAAAAAACTTAATAACTAACAAAAAAAATAAATTAATTTTATATTAAACTAGTCAACGTTCCCTCGACATTTCTGTGTCCTACTTTTTGTAGAATCACACATCGATGTGTCCAGTCGTGCCTATGTCGCATTTCTGTGCATGCTAATGCTTCTTAGCATAGTTGTCGATTGCCATTTCCACTTCAAATATGGTTAATGACTCTGTGTTTCAGTTCATGTTGGCATACCATATTAGAATGCAACATTACCTAGGAATGGAATAAAAAAAAAAAGGCAAAAACAAAAACTTCTACCAATTTTGGCTTTGAAATTGCAATTTAGTGCTATATGTTTCAAACTGTATAAGCTTGTTTTAGAATAGACAAAACAACCTATTGTTGTCATATTAATTGCTATTGGATCTTGCAAATATTTTTAAACTTTGATTTATTTGGATTAAAAAGGTTGCTTTTTTACATTTTGACCACTACTATATAGAAGTGACATTTAGTAGATTATATCAGCTAAATATTTGATGAGTAGAAAATTTTACCAAAAATTGCAATTTGCTCGCCCCACCTCTTGAGCATAATTTCTTTAAATTTATTATTATTATTATTATTATTATTATTATTTCTGTTTCCTTTAGATAGAAAAGAAAGGTTTTGAGTACTCTTTCCACCATATTGTCCATCCCATTTGGAATAAAAAGCTAATATCTCTCTCTTCATTTGGTGTATGATGAATGGGAAATAGAATAAAAAATTCTTTTCAGGTGTTTCAGATTACGAGTATGCAACATTTACACAGTATGAGTGAAATATATTTTGTACATTAGTTTCCTTGTCTTCCTCAACTCTAACCAAAATTTCTCCATCAAGATTACTTTGATCTCTACTTACCATCCAATTTTTCTTTCTGACCAAAATCGCCGAAGTAAGAATGCAAAATTGCAAAAGAACATACTATAGTTCTCACAAGTTGAATCTCTATCATTTAAGAAAATAAGGATGAAAGTTAGTCATGCTAATGGAGGTCATAAGTGCAAGCAGAACTAGGCCTTTTAGGGATATCTCCTCGTGCTTTTAGGAATGTAGATATTCACATCTTGATTCTAATTACAAAATTGAAATGCTAGAGGCAACTTATTTGATCGAGAAACTACAGTAAAAATTGTGAATATGAATTCAGATTTCTTTTTCATGTCATATGCGTCAAAACTCTTGTGGAGAGAACATATAGAAGATATTAAAAAATCTAGAAAGTGCCTTACATACTTAGAATCATAGATCAGTCTTAAGGAGAAACAATAAATTATCATGATTCATGATGTTATGGACTCGGGAAAATAGTACAGTAACTAACATTTGCTAAGCTAATTAATACATTTTTGATAATTTTGGCTTCATGGAGAATGTGTCCAGCTTAGTGAAGGATTCAGTTGCCTACATGAAATTGCAGTAGCAATGTCTTCATCAACTCAGTTTCTTTGTTGTGTTTATTTTCTTTCAGATATGAGGTTTAGTAATGAGCCTTTATTTATTTATTTATTTATTCATGTTGTGGGCTTGTCACTGAGAGAGAGGAGACACACACTCTTCAATTTTATGTGCAATAGTTTGGGTTGGTGCAATAGGAGCAAATCCCCAGAGAAGATTCCAGTTGTTCTCATTGTTCATGTTTCCTTTTAAAGTAGTGAATCGTTAATGCTTTTGTGAATGGCATTTGGTGGAGGATATGGTGAATTGGCATTGGTGTGAATGGTTTCTTCGTGTCCTTTAGTGTCTTGATAAAGATACCTATGTGCTTTCCTTCTCAGGGACTTCATGTTTATTGTTTTTACATTGACAGCTTATGTCGTTGTCTGAGAATAAGTGGTGGCTGTAAATGTTGTATTTCATCCTACCATGAAGAATGCTGAACTAGAGGAAAGGTGAACAATAAACTTCTCAGCGATCTGGGCGTGAAGACGAGGGACCATGCATGAAGCAGACAATTGCAATTTAAGAGAGTTGTAGTTCTATATTTAAAATTTACAGGCATAAAGCCCATAAAGTATTACCATCGCTTGTAGCTTTTCAGTGTCTTGCTTCTTAATACCTTACAACTGTTGCCAACTTTGGATGTTCTGGTGAGGTTCAAATTTTTATTGAATAGATATTTCATTTTTACAAAGTGGATTGTAAATTGCTGCTATTGTCTTTTTCCCGTATTTCCATTTCTGGTGAATCGTGTCTGGAAATGGAGAGGCTCGGGGAAGAACAGATACAGATACCTTACAAGCTTTCGAGCTAATGTCGCTACTAACAAGGGTTGCCAAACTCATGTTAGTGAGGTAGCATTAACATATACACATATATGTAACATGGATACCAATAATCTTCGTTCTTGATAACGATGAAACACTATTATGCTGGATCCCTTGCAGGATGCTGAACCAAAAGATTCAAAAAAAATCAAACTTTACTCAAAACAGCAAATTAAATATGTTATGTAATGTTTCTGATTAAGTAATTATAATTGAATCATCATTTCATTGATCTCCATGCTAGCCAAAAGTGCACAAGCCTCGACCACCAATCAGGAAAAGAATAGTTATTTGGTCTGTTGGAAAAGATACTATTCCAGAATTGTATCATTATTTGGCTCACTTCCCATTCTTTTCCTTCGAATCTGATACCAATGCCCTGACGCTGAGCCGTGGTTTTGTGTTAACTAGGGCTCGGGGAAGAACAGATACAGATACCACTATGGAGTTGCCAGGGATTCCGGAAAGTGGCAATACCTCAAGAAGCACGGCAAACTGCAAAGGAATTATGAGTTCAGAACAGTGGAAAGTACAAAGAGGACTATTGATTCGACAAACTTGTCCCTACCTCAGGGCATTTCAGTTCCACAATTGAATCTGGAACAGCATCTTTAACTGCTGAGGCCACAACGGTAAAGCATTTGTTGCGGTCTAACATAGATAATGCACTGGAATTCAAAGAATCCGTTTTTGTAATTTTTATCATCTTTGTCTCCTCAATCCCTCTTCTGTTATACCCAACTGCAAACTACAATGTCATTAGTTCTATATAGGTCTATCTACCACACAGTTGGGGCAGCATAAGGAAACTAAATATATGATGCTTTTGAATAATTTAAAATAAAAAAAAAAAAAAAAAAATTACTAAAATAAAAAAAGAATAAGATATAGAAAAATGGGTTTTCTCTTAAACTAAATTTAAAATAAAAAAAGAATGAATGATATTAAAAAATGGGCCATGTCTTAATCAACTAGATGTTTCACTAGATGAAAATTTTGCCAGAACTTATAGCGAGAACCTTTAAAATCAGAGATTGACAAAGCAATGAGACAGCGCTAGAAGTAAAATATTTACAAAACGACCTAACATTAGGTTCATGAATGCTATGAACTTCATAATCTTGAAGCGAAGATTTCATTTGCCGTTACATTTACCAGTTCTTATGAAGACCAATCACCCATTCCTCCTTTTCTTCATGCACATACCACCCTCCACATACAAACACGTCATACACAAGCAATCTTGACGAAGTGTGAGAAATAAAGCATACCTTCAAAGGTTGTGCAAGTTCGTTCTTTTGATTTGTTACAAACTGATTGACAAGCTTCGACACAGTACTACGAATTTCATTCTCATCTATACTACAAGTAGCTTGGATTGGGAACATACGATGACACCAACTGCATCAGATAATAAATGCCTTATTAAGTTAAGAATCAGAGCAGAAGTAGTTATAGTTATTATCAAATCACATAACAATTATCAAGTAATGCGCAAACTTCAAGGAAGACTCCTATATTCATTGTAGACAAATGAGAGCTTGATATTAGACGATATAAAGATCATGTAATAAACGAAAGCACGTGTGCATGAACACCTGGATGGTCTCAAGGGCTTTAATTTGAAAAACCAAGAGATGCATATAACAATTAATGTACTATAAACACTCATTATATAGATGTTAAACCCATTAACTTCAAGTCCAAGCCATTGACTACGTCTATTAGCAAAACTAAATGAACAAAAGGCAAAAACCATAGAAAAATCCTAGATGCATTAAGTGTAGAGTGTCTTGCCCAAGAGAGTAATGCAGGGCTAATAACACAGCAGGATTTTTTTTTTAAATAAGCATGTGCTCGAGCATCACCCTTTTTGATTCTCATCGTCACAAATCAATCACTATCCCCCCCACCAAAAAAAAAAAAAAAAAAGGAAGTTTTTCTTTTTCTTTTTTCCTAAAAAAAAAAAAAAAAAAAAAAAAGAACAGTAGCTTTTCATTTTCTTATTTTATATCTTTCATAAACCCCAATTTAGGAGAAGGCGACCATTAAATCAGCACTATCATAACTTTCAGATTATAACAAGACTCTTTATTTTGTATTGGCTAGTTCTTGAAACCCAATTATGCAGTATGACAAGAAAGGAAAAGAAAAACATTAATAATGGGCAAAAATTAGCGTACAGCTTGAAATCGTGATGCTGCCTACCATTGCTGTTCAATAACCTAGTAATTTGTCCCCTTTAATTAACAAATAGTAAATGTTTATTAGCAAGGATGTTTTTGCTGGTAGTGATAGATTTTGCTCGGGCATATTGAGCTTTAATTTTCAGCATATATTAGGTCATCTGGGCACGCTCTATAAGTTATTGACTTGAAAAATAAAACTCACTGGCCTAGGTTCTTTTAGGCAACAATGTAATTTTTGTGTACAAGTTTTACAATCCAATTTTGTCTTCAAGTTATATAATCCATCCATTATGACAAACATCATTAGCTAATGGGCACTACCATGATAGAGTTTTAGGTTTCTATTCCATTATTGTCAAACTATGAAGAATGAAGATGAAGAAATACTACAGAAATTTGAAATCAAATAAGTGTAAATAAAGGAAATGACAAGGAAAAAAATGAAAAAGAAATGACTTGCAATAAATGTAAGTAAGCCAGGATAGAAAGCAATAATGTATCAGAGACATGTTCAAACAAAAGAATACTACAAAGGAAAAGAACGAAGAACAAAGACAAAGAAAGAATTAAGAATTAAGTAACTTACAGTGGTGACTTTGAACATCCAGAATCTAGAGACTGAATAATGTTTGCAACAATATCGACAACAGGAGGAGATTTATTCCTAGGATATGTAAAGAGAAGTAAACCACTTCGTGTCAACTTGACCAGAGAAAGATCCTCAAATTTACCTATAGATATATCTGAGTCTGCAGGGGAAGTAGAACTTTCTTGAAGTTTACCTGCCATTCACACATTCAAATGGCTTATTTCAAGACAACAATAAAGAAAACGTTCCAATTATTGAAAGCATTTAGACAAGGACAATAAATTCTAAAATATACTGTCTACAGAACCATTACCAGAATCTCCATGCCTATCAGCATCATGTGTACTCTCCGAACTACTCAAGCTTTCCCCTTTAATGGCTCCCATAAATGTTTTTCTTCTCTTAGCAGCAGCATCTACATCTAACTTTTCCATACGTTTGGAGTAGCTATTATGGGATCCAAGATACTGCACATTAATTCAAAACTACACTGTGTTGGTACTCACACCAATATTGTATGTGATCATTTAACATGAAACATGAATTCAAGTCTGCAGCATGAGATGACTGTCTGAACAATTTTTGTTTTGATAAGTAATCAAGTAATTTTATTAATAGATAATACATGGAGGGGTGTATTATCAATTTAAACGGGAAAGAAACAACATCAAGTTTGGTAGCCCTTCTACATAATTTGTGGCTACAGCCTTAAACCAAATATACAAAGCCATATAGAACTATTCTCTAATTTGCTCAGTTGTTCTTACAACGGCTATTCCTTTCTCTCCATACACACCACACAATGCATTCCGGAATAAGGTTCCACGCAAGCCTACTATCCTTATCTCGAAATTTTCTCCTCCATGCCCGCAACACATCCTCCATACGCCTAGGCATCACCCAATCCATATGTTGGGAAGCTAGAATAGTGTTCCACAACCACCGGACACCTTCACAATGGAGGAACAAATGGTCATTCGTTTCTCCGTCTCTCTTGCATATATAACACCATTCGGTAACATAAAAATCTTTTCTACGAAGATTATCCACCGTTAATATCTGCCCCCTCACAACCGTCCATAACAAGAAAGTCACCCGTAGGGGGCAGTTTACATTGCCACACCATCTTCCAAGCAAATAAACTCTCCGTCGATCCCAATATGGATCTAAAGTAAGTGCAAACAGAGAAATTACCATCCCGTGCCAGCTTCCATCTGCTCCTATCATCTTCTCCCACTTGAATATGCACCTTGTGCAAGGAGGTCAAAAACAGTGCATAACTATCCAATTCTCAATCCTGCAAACCCCTCTCGAAGGCAATATTCCAGCTATAATTTCCATTATGTATGGCTAGGACATCATTTACCATAGCGGTAGGCTCCAGGGCAATGCGATGCAAAGAAGGAAACTGTGCCTTTAGCGGATGATCTCCACACCAACAATCATCCCAAAATTTGATACTATTGCCATTCCCAGTCACATAAGTCAATTTCTCTCGAAAGTCATTTCATCCGCGTCGAATATACTTCCACAAACTCATCCCATAAGATTCACGACCCTCGATCGAGCACCAACTCCCTCCATCACACCAAACTTCGCTCCTATGATTTGTCTCCAAAGACTCCCTCTCCACTCCAAATCGCCACAACCACTTGCCCAATAAAATCTTATTAAATAGAACAAGGCTCCTCACCCCCCATCCTAACAAAAGAACAAACCACATCCCAATTAACCAAATGAAATTTCCTCTCTTCCCCTAGCCCTGCCCAAAGAAACGCCCTCTGAATCCTCTCTAATCTGTTTTCCACTGTACCAAGGATAGGAAACAGTGACAAGAAATAAGTCGGGAGATTGGACAGAGTAGAAAACTGAAATGGAGCTTGTGGTGAATCAAGTACACTTGATTTAATCCTTATAATGGAAGTCTCATAATTGATCCAAAAATAGAAAAAATCATTGATATAAGGATACAGATAATCCTAATCGCTTCCAAATGTACAATTACCATCAGACAGCCATTTTTACTCCTCCTTTTTCTTGTGGTGGTGGATGGGTGGAAGGAAGAGCAGGGAAGCCACCAAAATTTTCATTTGCGCATGGCATGCACCCATATTTATATTATTAATCAAGAAAAAGAGTATAAGAGGAAACAAGCCATTATACCTACTACCTAGAAATTACAAGGAGAACTAAAAGATAACGAATCGGATAAAAAGAAAAGAAAGTCAGAAAATATATGATAGCTTGAGGAGTCAAAAACATTCTCTTCTATGTTATCCTAGCAAAACTCTGATTAATGTGATCAGTCATACTCCCCGTCAACAGACTAGGCAAATTCACTTCTCATAATCTAAAGAAATGACAAACTGAGGGCGCCATGAAGGTTGTAGAAGACGTCTAACAAAGTTATCATCTCTAATATAATTCAATGTATCCTATATAGAATTGCAAAATTTTAGTAATAACACTGAGTTTGTATGTTATTGCTTACTATGTAAAATTCAGTAATAAGTCAGCAGCTTAGCCATTTAAATATAGTTTTCCAATTCAATCTCCTTCTGACTACACAAACGAAGAATCTAAACAGCACTTAGAATAGTAACGTCAGATTCCAACTTTGTGATATAGAAGTGAATAACAAACTAGAAATTTATTATGAACAATGCCAAAAATAAATGACATCAAGAAGAATTTAATAAAAAAACCTTTTCAAAGATAGACATGACTTCTTTTGTGGCACTTTTCTCCCTCTCTGAGACAACATGAAACTTTTCATCAGACAGCAGTTGCAACTAGAAATGACAAAAAGAAAAATGTAATTGAATATTTGAAAAATGGAAAAATTCAATGTTCTTGACACAATATGGTCAAACGGATCAGATCCCAATCCTTAAATACATGAAACTATATTTTATTAGAAAAGGATACCCTTTTCTTCAGTAAAAATATTGAAATTCTAAACCTTGAAGATAGTGAATTTATGTAACTAAATCATAAGGATTCAAATAGTTCCCTGAAGATTTTTCTACGTTCTTCTATGGAATTTCGTTTCTAATTTCCTCAATGTCAAGTTAACAAAACTAAAAGGAGTTAAAATTAATACAAGTTCAGCGGAAGACATCCATTTCAGTCCTTTTCCTCAGATGAGCATCAAAGTTTGAACCCAGCAGATTAGACAAAAAGCAAAACAACAAAATTCAAAAACATATATATATACGGATTGAAGACTGACTTATTGGGCAGGTAATGAGGAATCCAGAATGTGAATGTTGGAGAAGAGCAGACGGAGCGTTGTAATCAAATCGAGGGATGCTTATCACAGATGAATGCTGTTCCCATGGCTTCATCTCCTTATCTGCACCTTTCTCTTCTTTTACTTCGGGCTTTTCTTCTTCTTGTTTCCCTAGTGGTGGTGGCAGCGGTGGCTCCGGTCGAGTTTCGAATTTCTCATTTGCAGTAGATTGTTGTTCAGCCATTTCTGCTCTTTCTGCTGTTGACATTGTTATAAGTGTGTTAAACGATCAAATTCCCAAATCCTTAAACCCTATGCGACGACTGTTGTTTGGTATTATTCTCCTTTTATACTCAATTCCCAGTCATTCCTCACCTAATTAATTGTTCCATTGGTCATTGGACTTAGGTCATATATTTTGATTGGTCACTGAAGTTTAAAATATCGAGTTTTGATTACTGAACTTAGATACATATCTTCGATTGCTCATTGAAATTTAAAATATTAAGTTTTGATCATTAAATTTTGAAAAATACTATACATTACTCACGAGCATAAATGTTAAATTTTGAAAAAATTCTAGTTTATTGTGTGTAATGTAAAATATTTTTCGAAATTTAACAATCAAAATTCAATAATTTAAACTATAGTGAACAACTGAAGACATGGACCTAAGGTCAGTAGCCAAAACTCGATATTTTAAATTTCAGTGATCAATTAAACCATTGGAACAATTAACTCCATTCTCTCCCCCTTATAAATTTTTCCAAACAACCACTCTGCTAGACATGTCAAAATATATATATTTTACTTTTAAACGAAAACTAAAATATTAGCACAATTTAAAAATGAATCTTCAACCAGTGTTTGATTTTCATTATTTTCAAAATACATTTCTCTCTCACTTCATTTCAACCTCACATTCTTCAATAAAGTATTATTACACAAAAATTCAAAAATTTTCCTTAATTTTTAACAACACATTTCCCATCAATCTACTATTCAAAAATGCATTATTATGAAATAATTAAGCTCCCGCTTAATGAGAATTAAAATTAGATTTTTAGTGAATTTTGATAAAAATTCAGGTTAAAAAATTATGAGATCCACGAAATATTTGATTAAAATTAATTGTTTATTTTGATATAAATTAAAATTTTAATTTTAATCACAACCAAACACATATATTCCATGTGACAGATTGGTAATGGATCCACTACCACCTCGTTCGTGTTTCAAAAATATTACTAACATCCAATAATTCTAATTTTAAATACAATTATGCGACAAGAACATAAAGTTTGACATAATATCATGTGATATTTTGGACAGTTTAAATTTTAAAATATAGTCCGCTTCTCCACCAATTATTTTCCTCCATGTATAATTATGTCAAGTTTTCTGTCAAAATCATCAGTCAGGCTTTTTCCTCCACATATAATTATTTTCCTCTACAATTTTTTTTTTTTATTATTGTATTAACAATAACTTCTTTAAGACTAATTAATTATTAAGTTTAAATCTAAATACCTAAATTACCCTTGAGAATAATGTACTCCATACCATTTGCATTAAGTTGACCCCGTCATACCATATTATTGATAAGGGTACCTTGCCACGTGTAGCACGGTTTTATCGATATCAATTATATTACACACTAAACATTCATAGCAATGCATATATTTCTTCAATTTTTTTTTTTTTTTTATAATTTTGAAGTAGGAATACAAATTCTCTGTTACACTCAAAAGTGCAAAGCTCTAAATGATAAACGGGACAAGAACATAGACGCGTACATGGCCATGGAATGTTGCCTCTCTTTGAATTTCTCAAATCTTTATACTCGCAATTACTAAAATAGAACCCGAACCGAACTTGAGTTCCAGTCTACCCATAATACTTAAAAGAAAAATGTGAGCAGAGCATGAACATCAAATTACATGTCCAAACAACAAACCAAAAACTACATATTAAAAATAAGGTATTACTAGATTATATAAAGGGAAAATTGCAGCCGAGGTACCAAACCTTTCGTTTATTAGCGAACTTTATCTATACCTTTAGTTTGTACCACTCATAGTCCCAAGCTTTTCAAAAATATGCACCGGAGGTTCAAATGGATGGAAACCGTCCGTTTGACCTTTAGTTTACTAGAAAAGTCAAAATTTGACCAATTTGGACCAAATTAAAAAGGGCAAAGTGGTACTTCGCATTTTTTCTTAATATTAATAATTAAAATAATTAATAATAACAATACAAAAGTAAAAACAAAATAAATAAAAATAAAAAGAAAGGGATTACTGTTCATCTTCACCCTCACCCCACCCCGCCCCGCCCCATCCCACGCCCTTACTCAAAACCCAAAACCAGAATACCCCATGGCTACCATCACCGATTCACCCACCCCATCCACACCATCGTCGAAAAAACTAGCTATCAAATTTGGAGACTCCCAACCCCAGTTGAGAAGTAAATTTTGAAATAGCTATCAAAACTTCATCCAATCCCAAACTTAAATCTCAAATTGTCAAACACGGAAGTCAAGCTTTTTATGCAATAGAAGTCAAGCTTCTGGGAACTGAGTTCGAACTCAATTACCTTATCTAAAAAAAAGAGTTCGAACTTAGTTCTTGACCGATAATGGAGATAGTGTTTAGGGAAGAAATGTTGGTATAGGTGGTCATTTCTGGATTTGGGTTTATGTTATTTGAAGTAGATGTTATGGCGACAATGATGGCGGGTGATTTGCAGGTGCGACGGCGTGTTGGTGACTGGGCAATTCGATTTCTGGTTTTCATTTGGGTTCGGTGGGATTTGATTTTCCAATGTGCCGTAGGGATGAGTTTTGTTGGTTTGATTTTCGCTGTTGCAGATAGAAGGTGACAGTGGTGAGCGTGAGTGCTGTGGCGACGGTTGTGGCAATTTTCGATGGATGTAACGCCGAAGAAGACGAGCTGCTTTGGTGTGTGGATGGTGTGCCGGTGGCAGACTCGTTTCTGCTGCCTGTTGGTTTGATTTCGGGGTAGGGTGGGGTGGTGTGAGGAAGATGACCGATTTTCGTTTGGTTTTAAATTTTTTTTTTTCAATTTTCTCTTTTTTTTTTCCTTAGATTTTTTCTTTATTTTTTGATTTTTTTTCAATTTATTTAATATGGTAATTATCAAATTACCATTTTATCCTTTTCAATTTGGTCCAAATTGGTCAAATTTTGACTTTTTTAGTCAACTAACGATCAAACGGATGGTTTCCATCAATTTGAACTTCCGATGCATATTTTTGAAAGGTTTGGAATTGTGGGTAGCACAAACTAAAGGTTTGGACAAAATCTGCTAATAAACGAAAAATTTGATACCTCGGCTACAATTTTCCCTTATATAAATGCTAATAATAATATAAATTCATTCATCTAAAAACACCATACTTTTTCTTTCCCCCATTTGTCTCCTTTGCCTCCCATCAAGTCGTTGATTTAGAAGGAATAAATAATAATAAATAATTTTTTTTAATAAAAATGACAAAATCAATCCAAAGTTGGATACTTACGATTACGGTTCAAGAATCAAAAACCATCCAAATCCGATCAGTTCTCAATTTTTTGATCCGATTCTTAATCTTTATTAGGAATCGGATTGCAAGCTCCAATTTTGTTTCAATGTTTAATTTCAATTAAAATGCACGCCTATAAGCGTCACCCACTCGTAGTAAACAATGTGAAACTTAAGGGCAATGTTGTCACTCTAACTCAATGAATTGAAACAGAGTGTCCGTTATCTACCTTGTCTACAAATATCTCACTCTCTCTCTACACAAATATCTCACTCTCTCTACACAAATATCTCACTCTCTCTCTCTCTCTCTCTCTCTCTCTCTCTCTACACAAATATCTCAGCTCGCTTCTTTATATATATCTCTCTTTATACATATCTCCAATCAAGTTAGGGTTTTTCCGAATTTACGTAAGCATGATTTCTGATTCGATACATAACGCTTCAATGCCTTTGGCTTCATCTAACACCAAAGATTATGCCAAGAAAAGAAGGGTAATTGTTTTGTTTTCTTATTTTTTGACAAATTAATGCAAGCAATGTATTTAGATGGTTTTCTTTCAATTATACACTATTTGAATTTGAAAATTGTTATTTATAAAAATGAAAGTGCAAATGTATTCTAGCGAATTTTAGCTTTATTATTATTAATAATTTATTTATTATTTAATTTCAATTTGATCGAGCGAATTTCAAGTCTTTCTAATTTCAGGTTTCTTTAATTATTTCGACAGTTTAATGCGGCAATGTATCTGTATATAATTTGGATTGATATTTGAGCAAATTTCGATTTTATTTTCTGATTTCAATTTGGATTGAATGATTTTTATTACTTTTTAAATTTCAAGTTTAACTAATTATTTTTACAGCCATTTGTTGAATCTTTTGTTTATGTACAAGTTATTTTTTAGTGGTTGCTGATTTTTCTTGTTTTGATTTTGGATAATATTTATATAACAACTTCAGGTTAATCGGTCTGCAAAATTGAAGCAGTGCAAACTTGATGCTCGTCGCGACCAGTGGCTATCTCACGGTTTCTTGCAGATCTCTGTTTGTTTTGTACATGCATTTGCGTATATGTTTATTTATGCCTTTTCTTTCGCAGTTGTGCTTGAGCTTTTTATATTTTATTGTATTTTGGGATCTTATTATTTTTTCTCTATGCGTGCATTGGTGCATGTTTGGAAATGTATTAGTAACTTTGGAATATAATTAACTATTTGGAATTTTTTGTTGATGGGGTATTTAATTTTTTAGCGAAGAATAACGGCGTCTGTACGGAAGAAGTGAGTGGTGGTGGAGGGACACGTGGTGTGCCATCAGCGCATTTGGACAATGAAAGGGGCCGCCTACCAACTGAGAAGCTAGAAATAAAGCCAACAAGTGTGGAGGAGAATTATGGAGATGGATCGTCGATGCATCATTACAATGATTTGGAGTCATCTCCAGCAAACAGCCTCAGCAGCTACACCAGTGTGTTGTGCAGTAACGATTCAGGAATCAATTTTACTGGGAGTGGTAGATGCAGCAGCCAAAGCAGCATTGGTAGTACTAATGGATGTTTTTCAGGTAGCATGAGTGAAGACAACGAGGGGGATGATTGGGAGGCTGTGGCCGATGCATTGGCTGCTACCAATGACAAGCAGAAAGAGCATAGCCTGGAGTCAATATCAGATTCTCTGGTTCTGGAGAAACATGTAATTGCTGCCCAATCTGATTCTAGGTCAGAAATATCAAACCTGTCAGATTCGGGAGTTGAAATTACAGAGTCAAATCCAGAGAGTGAGGGAGATGCAACACATAGTTCTCTGGTAAATTGTCGGGCATGGCGCCCTAATGATGCTTTTCGTCCTCGGGGCCTGCCTAGTTTATCGAAGCAGCATAGTTTCCCCTTGAATTCAGAGCTCCAATTTGGTCGTGTAGCTTCTGTTTGGGGATGTAAGATTGTTCAGCCAGTCCCCACATCTTGTCCAATATGCTGCGAGGACTTGGACTTCACAGACTCGACGTTTATCCCATGTTCCTGTGGGTTCCGGCTCTGCCTTTTCTGTCACAAGAGGATTCTCGAGGAGGATGGGCGTTGTCCAGGCTGCAGGAACAAGTATGATTGTGAGCCTGTTGAGGGAGAGGAAACTTTAGATGGAGGCAGCTTGACGTTTCGATTGGCTCGTTCTTGTAGCATGATATTAAGGTCTTAGAAAGATTCTCTGTTTGCCTCGAAATTGTGTGTTGGGATTCTCTTTTTCTTAGTGCATCTTAGGGCGTTTTTACCATTAGATACTGATTTTCACTGCCTTAGATGTTGCTTTAGATATGTGATTCTGACGCACAGGGGAGTGAATCTAGTTTCTTACGAATTTGTACCATAAGTTTTTTTATGGTGCTTATGTGTAGTAGGCTAGCTATGTGAATAGACAAGGTGGTATAAAAATTGAACACACTAAATTTGGTTAATTGGAATTTAGTGTTTCTTGTTAAATTTCTGTGTGTAATTCGTGGTGATGATGAAATATGAGCTAATAATGTGAAGAAAATCATTTAATTTGTACGTTCAATTATTTTGATTAGACATTGTCTTTCTTTTGTACAATTGTGATTGACAACATAGATATTGTCAAAATGTAAATCGGTGATATAGATAATAGTTCTTAAAAGTAAGAGAGATGCAACCTCAGCCCCGGGATTGGAACCCGGGTTCTGCAGCTTTATTCTAAAAGTAAATGAATAAGATGTTGCAAAGTGTGTTGTGAACCAAGATTATAAAAAATTATTGTAAAAGTAACATTATTGCCCTTGTTTGAGCCTCATTTTGGGGGGAAAATGAATTTTTAAATATATGATTAAAAAATAAGAAAAAGCTTTTTATTTATGTGTAATATTATTTTATTGAAAAATATGTTATTGAAATAATGTCAAAACACTGTTTAAAAATATATTTTTATGGAAAAAATGAGGCTCAAACAAGGGCATTGTTTAATTATTCTATTGGAATTTCTTTCCTTCCTTTGGCGCTGCCGGATTTGTTGTCTCGCTATAGTTACTCGTCTTTGGACATTGGCTGACTTGGTAGCAAGGAAAATTCTAATAGAGATGTATAATAATTGCCATTCCTTGCTGCATATGGATTCTAGAATGTTTAGGATCACTATATTTCTCGCTGACTAAAGCTTTTGTGTTTTAGGCTTCAACTAGATAGATCAGGTATATATATATATATATATATAAAATGTAACTATGAACATCATTTCCACAACCAATTTCTCACCCTGAGCCTAAATTTTGGGTATCAAAATGGTGTCTTCAAGTTAGCATATATAATTGAAGCTATAAGCTCAGAAACAGAAGGTGTGATCACCACTAATTCATCAGGTATGGCTAGGAAACAAAAACGCAAGCTGTGGTTAAAACTATGGCTAGTTAATCTGTGTTCTATAGTCTTGGACGCTTCAGACAAGACTGTTGTGCTGATGCTGATGCTGATGCAGATTTTAATGGAGTGAGATCACGAGCAAGAGAGGATGTTGGCGACAAATCTTGCAGTTTTCTCTTTTGGTATCCTTTATCTTCATCATTCTCGTACCCTTGTAATATGATGTCTCTCAAACGCTTCACGTCTGAGAGGTTCACTGGCTTTACAAGGAACTCTTGAGCCCCTTCCTCCAAACACCTGAGAATTGGTCAGAAGGAAGAGATCAGAGACTTGTGAGCAGAATTTATTTTTATGAACGCCAAACTTTACTGATTCTTTGCAATGTTCAACACAAATATATAGCGGAACAGAGATGGATTGTATAAAGTTATGATCAAATCCCAAAACTCAAAATCCAGAAGTTCTGAAAAAGTATGCCATAACAGTTTGCATAAGATCTGCAAATTTCTGGTTTTCATGTAACAATGAAACAGAGAGAGTGGCCGGAGTGGATTCATATAATTGACCACAAGTTCAGTGAGAAAGAGGCTCGGTTTTCTATTTTTATTTATTTATTTACTTTTTTTTATGTTATATGTCAACGACATGATCTGTGATATATGATCAAGTTCAATGATCAAGTTCAATGACATGATCTGTGATATAAATACTGGCTATGGAATCAGATCAAGCTCGACTCTCATTTGATAAGTACCCAACAAAGCCTACCATACAAGTTTAGGATCCAGAATTCAAGAACAAAAAACGAATCTAAGTTCAAAGGCGAGATCTGATATGCTGACTAACAGATGAAATACTTCCTATATATGGGTGAAACCATTTATAATACTTAATCTACCAAGAATACCACTGTAACAAATCATCAAACACTGAAACTAATCCGACTAACATCTAAATTCAACACTGACATTAGATTGAGATTATACCTATCTATACGAGCCAAAACTTTCTCGGACGACATAATCACCACAGGTATTTCCCGTAAATTCGATGAGCTCTGGTGAAAGAGGTAAACAAGTAAAACATAAACAAACCTCATTTTCAAAATCATCAATCAAGAATGGCAAAAAATTATGGAAAGAATCTAAAACCCTCTTTTGGGATGGAAAATACCACCATCACTAACCTTTATCTTTTTGAGAAGTTCATATCCTGTCATCCCGGGCATTGAATAGTCTGTCATTATCAGATTCACCTTCAATCCCTAAATTCACAAAAAATCAGTATAACCCCAAAATAGTAACCTAAACGAATCCCATAAAAGATAAAGCCCTTGTTTCAGAATATGTGGTTGAATCAAAATAAAATAAAAGTTTTCAATTTATGTATAATATTATTTTATTGTTTGAAGAATATGAGGATGAGGTTGAAAATGAGTTTGTGAAAAAAAAATGAATTTTGAAAAATGGGGCTCAAACCACCACAAAGTAAAAACCCATTAATTTTTCACCGTTACTTCATCGAAAACTCGATTCTGAATCTCAAAATCTTGAATAAAACGACAATGGTGCTAAAACTTCTTCTTCTTCAATTTCACCAACACCACGTGAATATTTTGAAAAAGAAATTATAGCAGGAAAATCCAGTTTTTGCTTACATCAAATCCAACAGAGCTTTTCTCTCCATCCAATCCCAGATACTGCAGAGCCCTCCTCCCACTTTCCACAGCAGTAACTGCTAATCACAATTTCAATTTTCCATTAATTTCAGCAACCTAAACCCAAAATTTTTTAAAAATAATAAAAACATTCAAAACCCTGAATTAGTATTAACAAAAACACCAAACCTTTGCAGCTCGAAATCTTTAATAACCGCTCAATGACCTTCCGATCCACAAGGCTATCATCAACAGCAAGAACATGCAATTCCTCTGCAACAACCGAAGAACAGTCACTCCCCATTTCGTCGAAATCCCTCTCCCTCAAATGGGTACGTGTAAAAACTCAAAAACACCAGCAAAGCAATTCTATAAATATGGGGTTGATCGTATTGTACAATACTCTCGAGAGTCACGAAAATATGCGATACAATCGTCTTTTGTATATATGTACATAGAATGTGGGACGGTGGGTTCTGTGAAAGATTATGGTGAGAGAAAATCTACTTTAAGGAAGCTAAAAGGCTACAGCAAGATCTTTGAAAATCTACTAGCATTATATTCAACTTGTCGCTTTATCCGACAATATTATTATTTATTAACTCGTGGGGACCTTAAAAGTTTAAAATTTGACAATTTTCTCAAAACGTCCCTTATTCGTGAATTATTTTTATAATTCTAAAATATTTTTAAAAAAGTGTTATCTTACTTATTGTTATTTCAGGTAACACTAAATTGACATTAAATTAGAGATATTATTTATGAATCACTTATAGGGTTGATTCCCTTTGAATGCAAATAAAAGCATGCATGGAAAAAAAAAAAAAAAAAAGGAATGAGGAAGGAAAATTAAAATAGCTAGGGCGGCTATTATCATTCCCTTTTCATGGTAAAATTTTGAGAGACGTGGCTGGGATTATCATTTGGGGAGTTGAGAGCGGAACTTTTCATTTTCTCCCACTAATTTTCCGTACTCCGTACAAGGAAATTAATGCTACTGATATACATCACTAGTGTAGTTTTGGCAACACTAAGGTCCTGTTTGATTACATTATATTTTCCATGATACTTGGAATTCTAATTTCAAACTTCCACTTTTGACCTGTTTGATTAACAAAAATTTCTAGAGAATTGATTTTCCATGATTTTCTAGGTATAAGCTGGTAAAGCATGAAATTCCACCTTTTATTTTTCCATGGCGTAGGTGATTTTTGGAATTTCACCTTTTTTTTTTAATTGTTGGCAATGTAAACAAATTCAAGGAACAATTGTAAAAGAGGATAGTCCTTAAATTGACAATTTTCATATAAAATAAAGCCAAATGAACACCAAAATATAGATGATTTTTGGATTTTTTTTTTTTTTTTTTACAATGGAAACAAATTCTAGGAACAATGGTAGAAGTGGATATTCCTTAAATTGACAATTCTCATCAAAGACAAAGTCAAACGAACACCAAAAGACACTTTTATTTCAACATTTTTCACCTAAAAAATTATACCAACCAAATACTATTAATTGACAATTCCCAGTAAAACAATTTCTAGGCAATTCAATTCCCTAGAATTCATTTTCTTTCCATCCAAATTCCATCTTTGTAATCAAACAGACCCTAAGTGTCATTAAACGAGTTGCACGATTCTACTTTTCATCGAATATATTATATGATAACACTTTAATTGATGTTCTAGAGTCACCAAATGCATGTTTGGTATTGATTTTTCACTCAAAAAATAATTTTTTTATCGTTATTTCACTATTTCAATTATTATTTTTTTACTTCTTTTTTCTTTTTTCACAAGTAGAAACCACCTTTCTCTCTAAAAATCAAATTTCAAAATTACTACTAATATTGTTATCAATATTCTAGAAGGAAAATTTGATTAATACAACAATTATTTAATGTGAAAAGTGAGAAGAAGTTTTTGACATTTTGTACGGTGCAGTGTATAACGCGGCATTCAGATTCCCTCTGTCCCATAATAGTGTGGTTTTAATTTTGGTGAACAAAATCCGTTGTGTTTTGACTAATTCCCTTTTGCTGTCCCCACTTGGATCTTGGATCGGGGGTTGATTGACTCCATGCGCACCTAATAATCACCAGTTTCCAAGAATTTTACAAGAAGCAACACTCATCCTTGCCATTTTCGACATGATGACAATGGGCCTATTTAAGTTCCATTATTTCCTAATAAAATATTTTAAAATAGTCTATTGATGAAGAATGTATAATTAAAAAATAAAAAATAAAAAAATTTACGTGTAACATTATTTTATTAAAAAATGTGTGATTGAAAAGAAAAGAAAAAATATATATTTTGAAAAGAATGAAGATCAAACAAGGGCAATATCATAGACATTAGACACCTCTAACATTTTTGATAGAATTAGAAATACTTTTCACTTTTAAAAAATTACAATAACATTCTTTAGTTTTAGTTTTGAGTATCATATAGTTAGGACTATGAAAAGATTGGATATGAATCGAATCTATCTATATTCGATCCAATAATTCAGCGAATATTTGATTGTTAAGTTTATATTCGATTTGTTATATTATCGGATATTCGATCTGAAACTTTTATTTATTGTAATATAATGAAATAACCATGTTAATCTGTTTGTATGTTCAAAAACAATTCACATGATACTACCAAGTTTAAATGAACCAAAATATGCATAAATTTTTAGGCTTATATAATATCAAAATATTTTTCATGTCATAAAATATCATGCAAGTTTCAAATTGAAAAAAAAAATTATGTAATAAATATGCAGTAACATATGAAATACAATAATGCTATTCGAACAGCATCCTTTGCACAGATTATGAACAGGTAATAAAAAATTAATAATGGGCGCATCAATGAACAGTAGAAATTGTTTGAAAAACGAGACAAATTTGGCAGACCACTGGTACAACCTTTCCTCCCCCAAATTGGAAATCAGTATTTTCCCTCATTCCCCTCTCTCCCGGGCCTTCATTCCCGCCGGCCAGTTTTTCGAATCCGGTAGCACCTCCGAACAACATGTCTTCGCCGACACCGTCGAACTCAGGTGACCCACTGTTAAATGTCATCTTCAAAATTTTCCAATTCGACATATTTAATTTGTGTGTTTGCAAAGCATGGAAAATGTCATTGCTTAAAAAAAATTTGAATGACAGTGGAGATGGAGATATTTAACAAAAGTTGCAACATTAAAATAAACGAAAAATTTGTAATGGGGATGATTAACCATGAACTGCCCTACAAGCGTAAAATGGCATTTCGTCCAATGTTAAAGAAAAGGAAAACTCTGTAATGGGGATGAAAAATATGCCCTGCATTGGTCATTGTTATTACAATAATGCTGTTCGAACAATTTGGATTTCATGATTTTTACTTTAGTTCTTTAGGCTGTGAAACTCTAAAGGTAATGAGAAGCTTGTAACCTGGAAGTTCCATAGTGGACTATTTGGTTTTGGCTAGGTAGAATAATATGCAGAACCAAAACTTGCTATTTCGTGCCTGTAGAAATAAGAATTGGTTTGATAAGAAATTTGCGTGATTTTAAGTGAACAAATTTCAAGACCTGTGTTTTACTTACACTTTGTATAGCTGTACATTTGTGTTGAACGTATTAGTTAATGATCTGAGCAATAGATGCATGGACTGTCCCGCGCATTTTGAAAACGCCTAAATAGAAAGAGGTAGAAACTGAAAGATAAAAACTTCTCAGGATTATATGCATTGCAACCTGCAAGCTGAAATTTTACACCAAACTATCTATAAACATTTTCAAAACTTCTTAATGATTTGCCGCCCCGACTAGTGTTTGTCGCTGTGCAACGGGGATCGACCTGCCCGGTCAGGTCGCGGGGGTCGAGGGGGCAGCATCCCCCGTGGGGGCTCGGGAGCAACGCCCCCGAAAGAGAATTTTATTTTCAAAAGTCTTTGAATAGGTACATCTGTTCGTTTTAACAGTTACTTCCAACAGATATGTTCTTCATTTTAAGGAATACACCTAATATAGAAGACGAACTTAAAAAAGTATACAATTGATCGTAGGTTATATTTTTATTTTTGTTACAAAACCACATCCTCGAACAACAATAAAACAGAAAAAATAGAAAAAAAAAACGTGTGTAAGTGTCTCCGTGACACACTTGCGTGACACATGTGTGTCATGGAGACACACTCTCCGTGACACATAGCAGTGTGTCACGGAGAGACTTTCTCCATGACACACTGCTCCGGGGCAGTGTGTCACGGATAAACTCTCTCCGTGACAGCTCTCCTGTGTGTGTGTGTCATGGAGACATTGTTTCCGTAACACACACTGAAGTCCTTGCAAATGGTTTGGATGGATATGAGAATATATTCATGTGATGTTATACTGAAAATGTGCATCAAAATGAATTAAAAAGTTTTTATCAAATTGTAGTGAAAAAGTTAATTTGTAAATAATTATAAAGATCCCAATTGAGTAAATTCGACCACATGCACAATTTGAAGCGGTAACATACTTCAATTGCATTACTTGATGTCTACTCGTTGAATGTGTTCGTTTGGTACAATATTCAAATGTCGTTCGATATTTCTCATGGTAATGAATGGACCGCGTACACAGTGCCACTTCAAAACATTTTGTATATTTATGTCGAATTTGAGTGTCACCCCAAAATCAACACGATATTCGTACTCTCTAGATATTGAACAACTACGTTATTAAAAAAATGCGTCACTAAGAACAACTACGTCATTAACATCACTAAATAACATGAAGTTTGAACAAGAAAAGCAAGCATACATAACATCAACGTTAATTAAAAAATGGGGCTACTAATGTAGCCGGCCACTTTCATTTGTCATTCTTCTCCACGGTTGCTTTGCCCTTGCGAATTGTCATGTTCATGTTCATCGAAATCTGAACCTCTTCTTCGTCGGGGAGATGAATTTGATATTGAAACATGCACGACAAATCTGACACTGATTCTTCTGATGCTGGATTCATCTTGCTATCGACAACACTTGATTCACCACTTGATTCTCCTTCTCCAACCTACTCCCAAAAATCGCATTTCTGACTACAGCATTTGAATAGTTTTCCTTTGTTATCGGTCTCTCTCTCCACCTCGAAGCACTTCTGGAATCCACTCTTGCAAACGGGGCAACGACGCTTACTTCGGCATTCATCAAACAAGTGTCCCTTCGATCTGCAATTATGACAAATTCCGAAATTCTTTCCTCCCATTCTACAACCACAATCAACCACCCAAATTATTGACCATTAGTGTTTTGCATGAACGTAATGAGTGGAGAGGACTGACCATTGTTATAAACTCAATTTAATGCTATTGAAAAAGTTGAAATTCCATTTAAAAATGCATCACCAATGGTTTTTATAGCCATTTGGTCATTGCGCTATACTATTGAAAATGCCAGCAAGAATTCTATCAGAGTATGAGCTATTTCTGATCTTCAGATATTTTCTTATATTTCAGCAATTTACAGAAATTGTTATAACGCTTCTTGATCATCACTATTTTAACTG